CTGGCAGGAACATGTAGAGAGGACATTACTGAACGGTCACAGCATGTAGCAGGGACGGAGGCATGGGCTACTCAGAGAACTGAGGGAAGGGTGTGGCTAGGCTAGAGCATGGGTAGGGGAGGAGGGATGCCTTCAGTTAGGTGGATGGTGGAGGGCTTTGTTTGCTGCACTACGGTTTTTGAATCCTTTAGCCAAGCCTGGAAGGTAGTAAAGAGTAGACCTAGTTGGATGTGAGTTCAGACTCCAAGGGCTTGTTGACTTGGGGAAGTTACTTCACCATCATCTGTAAAATGGGGGTAACACTCATACTTGTGGGTTAGTTTTGAATGTTAATGAGCTAGTGAATGGAAAGTGCTTACTACAGTGTCTAGGACACAGCAAGTATTCAATAGCTATTACCTGCACCTTGCTAATATTTCTTTACCTTTTCTGAATCAGATTCCTTTGAAAATGGATGAAGCTTCTTCCTACACACAACATTTTGCATATAATTCAATGGGGTTCACAGACCGCCCCCCAACACACACACACACTGGATGCCAAGTTAAGAACACTGCCGTAAGATATAGGGAATGATCTGAAATTTTAAAGCAGAAGAGTGTTAAGACCAGATTTGACTTTTGTGGGGGAGGGCAGAATCTGGATACTGGGGACAGAAACTATCTGTGGTTCTCAAATCTGACTACACATTATAATCATCTGCTTCAGCTTTACTCCCCGGATATTTTGATTTAATTGGCCTGGGGTGAGGCCAGGCATCAGGATTGAAAAACCTTTCAGGTGATTCTAATGAGTAGCCAGCTTTGAGAACCACTGAATTAGGTTCAATGTGAGTCAGCCTGAGAGAGAAGAACAGCAGAGTAGGAATGGAAAGAAGGCAGCGAGGATGGAAAGGGAAAAAAGAGGAAAGACCTGTTAGCCCCGAGAAAGAAGATACCTACCAAGAAGGGTTCCTGGTGCCTAAGTGTGCTCAAAATGTAAAACCAGGGCCTAGAAGCCATTTCCAAACAAGGGACTCACGCAAACCATGCTTCAGGGAGAAGCCTGCCCTAAGCTGTCTGCCACCCACACTGAACTGCCTGTGTGCACTGCATTCCTGCCAGATGAGCCAGTTCTTAGTAAGGGGTTCCTGAGTCATATTTCAATCAATAGAACTGAGTCTTTTTCCATTGCATTGGAGCTGTACTGACCAATCAGAGCAACTCCATTCTGACCAATCAGGACAGTGCTATTTGTACCAATCAAACTGTGAGGATTTGGAGTCCTCATCTGCATGAGGACAGACCAATCAGGGACCAGGGGAAGGTACTTTTGGCTATATAAGTAAGCTCCCCTGGGCTTTCGGGGAGCACACTTTCCTTTTCCTCTGAACAGTAAGGGTTGTGTTTCCAGGCTGGAGTTGAAACACTGAAGATGGTTCATCAGAGCAGCACAGGCAGAGTGGGCTGGACCAGACCTGAGCAGAGCCCAGCAGAGCTGTCTGCTGGAGAGGGCCGCCTCACAGCTGTGCTGATCCACAGCCGTGCTGCTCCACAGCTGTGCTGTGTCCTAATTGACTAACTCTATTGTGCTGTCTTACAGCCTTGCTGTTCTACAATCACGCTGTATCACAGTGGAGCTGTTTGCTCTGAATAGTTTCCTTCTTCACCCACCCCAAAAACTGGGGATTACTGTTGGTGTTGAATTAGCACCAATGGCCATTGGTTGACAGGTTCCAGAAACATCTTGGGGATAGAATCAGTAAGTCCGTGTGACTTGCTAGATGTAGTGAGAGAAGAGGGCGTGAGGTCATCCCATTCACCCAGACAGAAGAGGAGGTGCTTACATTTTATTACTTATTGCTTTCTCTTTAATGTGTAGGAGGCAAGAGTTGGGAAGAAAAATTTTATTCAACAAACATACTTAATATAGACAGCCCTGACTTACAGTGGTTTGACTTACAACTTTTCCTTTTTCCAATGGTGTGGAAGCAATATACATAATAGATTACATGAGATATTCAACACCATTATAAAATTGGCTGTGTTCAATGACTTTGCCCAAATGTAGGCTAATGTAAGTGCTCTAAGCATGTTTAAGGTAAGCTAAGCCATGGTATTTGCCAGGTTAGGTATAGTAAATGCATTTTTAACTGATGGTATTTTCAGCTTATAATGTGTTTATTGGTACATATCCAATCATAAATCAAGGAGCATCTGTATACATTTATTAAGTGTAAACCGTGGGTTTAGATTTATTTGGACACTTTTGGCATGACTGCAGAACATGGAAATGTCACATAGGCAGCTGCAATATACCAGTGCAAGTAGTCATTGGCCATTGGTTCATGGCCAGGTGGTTGTAGAAGGATGTGGATGAGATCGTTCGGGAGGACAGAGGAGACAAGACCACCAGTTGTGGCACTCAGAGGGGCAGGGACTCCTGAGGCAACACTGAGGAAGAGAAAAGCATTGGTGTGGGGATGGTGAGGACCATGAGAGAAGGAGGCAAAAGTTTCCAGAAGGAGTGGGTGGGTGGCCATTGTGTAAAATACAATAGAGAGGCAGCCTGAGGTGAGGACCTGGACGAGCAGGACCTGAGCTTGATACTTAGGAGGTGGCCATGGCTTTGGAGACAGTGGCAGGGACAGAAGCCAAATTCCAGAGGGTGCAGACAAGAAGAAAGTGAGGAAGCCTGAGCATCGGTGTAGGAAGTTTGGGGCAAAAGCAATGAAAACAGCAGCTGCATGGGAGGAAGGGTGGAGAATCAGAGCTTTTCTTCTAGGTTGGAGTGGCGTTATTGTAGTCTGAGGGGAAGGAGCCAGGCTGGAGGAAACCATCAAAAATACAAATGAGGGAGGAGACAGCCCCTGGAGCCAGGGCTCACAAACACTGGGAGAAGAATTGCTGTTGGATAACAGCAGGGATGTTGTTTCTTTTAGGTAAAAGAAAAGGAGTTTCTAGAACAGTACAGTCCTTCTGTCTGAGAAGCCATCCAAGGTCATTCCTGTGTCCCAAGGCAGCTTCCTACCTACACTATACTCTCCTTTCCAAGTCCAGTTCACAGAAATCAATCTGTCTCTTTCCCTCCTCAAACGCTGCCACCACTCCCGGCCTTGAGGCTGGCTGGAGAGTGAGTTGCCATAGCCGAGGTTTCCACTGTCTTCACAGCTCCAAAAGAAAAGCACAGGCCTTTCTGTTTGCAGTTGATGGTTAATTGCCATATGGGGAGAAAGCAGCTGAAGTTACAAGAGTTACAGATTCCATGCCCTGACCAGTGTGGCTCGGTTGGTTGGGCATCGTCCTGCAAAGCAAAAGGTCGCTGGTTTGATTCTTGGTCAGGACACATGCCAGGGTCCCCTCCTTGGATGGGGTGCATACGAGAGGCAGCCGCTGGGTGTTGTATCCTCCCTCTCTTTCTCCCTCCCTTCCCCGCTCTCTAAAATTAAATAAATAAAATCTTAAAAAAAAGACATATCGATTCTCACAGTTCCTCCGTAACTTCCTCTGGTTTCTTTTTCCTTTTCAAGAGGGTGCCCCCCTCTGCTCTCTGCATCTCTTGCATGGCACTCGCTGCCAGGTGCCTTCTGATGCTTCCCTACTTCCTCCTGCCATGAATGGCACTGTGTCTCCTGGTTGCCCTCCTGCCCACTGATTCCCCTGCTCTTCCTGACCTCTAGATGTTGGCTGTCCAGGGCTCTGTCCCATGCTCTTCTCTTCCCCAAATACATCCGCTCCAAGGGTCATCTCATCCAATCCCATCACTTTAACTCTTATGTCTGATAGAAGAAATGTCCAAACCTATAGAGAGTTTTTACGAGTTTATTTGAGCCAAACTGATGACAATGGCAAGATCTCAAATGCTCTGGAAGATACCAGTATTGCAGTTTCGTTTGTGCATTTGGATTAAGGAGGGAATGCAAGGTATTGCACAGGAAGATGGGAGAAAGCAAGGCAGGGATTGGATTACAGGATAAAGATTATATGCTCTCTCAAGGGTGGTTATGACTTTAAGGGGTATATCTTCTGGTATTTCAAAAGTGTGTTAACCTAGATGCACAAGAACAATGGACAGGGCTGGCTTAAAACCCTTTTGCTGAAGAAGTTGTAAGCCTGGGGCTGGACTACCCACCATGACCTGCATGGGTATGAATTTATGATCAGATCACCCCTTGAGGTTACTTTCCACAGAGCCCCCTTTTCATCCACATCTCTATCCTGAGGTCTCCCCAGTCCTGACCTCTCACTCCAGCACCCCAACTTGTGACTGGCATTTCCATGTGAATGTCTCATAGGCCTCCAAATCTTAACATGCCCCAGTTTTCTGCCCCTCCATCTGCCCTTCCCTCTATTTCAACTCGCAACACATGCGAGTAATTGTTCCTCAGCTGCTTAACCAAAACCCGAGTCATCCTTGATTCTCCTCTTTCACTTGCCTCCCAAATGCAATCCATCAGCAAATCCTTTGACTCTACTTCCAAAATACAGGGTCTGGCACAAATAACACCTGATTTTATTACAAAATTTTTTATTACAAAATCATAAGCATGTAATTCTGCAACATGACAATATCACACTCAAGCATACCATATGACATTATAGGTGAAATGTTCAAAGAAACTATAAATTATTATGTCCGTATTATTATCCTATCAACCACACTCAAGCAGGCATTACTTCTGCCAGGCCCTGTATATTGACATCTGTCCATATCCTCCGTCTCCAGTCTATCCAGTGCTACCCAAAGAGAGGTTTGCAGCCCTGCCTGGCATGGTTCAGTGGATTGAGCACCAGTCTGTGAACCAAAGGGCCACAGGTTCGATTCCCACTCAGGGCACATGCCTGGGTTACAGGCCAGGTCCCCAGCAGGGGGTACACAAGAGGCAACCACACATTGATGTTTCTCTCCCTCTTTTTCTCCCTGTCTCTCCTCTGTCTAAAGATAAATAAAATCTTTGGGGGGAAAAATGGTTTGCAGAGCATCAGCATCACCTGGGGAGCTTGTTTAAAATGCAAAAATCTGTGCTTGTTTCAGCAACACATTCTAAAATTGGAACAATACAGGGAAGATTAGTATGGCCCCTGCACAAGGATGACACGCAAATTCATGAAGCGTTTCATGTTTTTTAAATGGCGTTGGGAGAACAGGACTGGCACATGCAAAGAAAAGAAACTAGACTGCCACCAACTTATACCATACACTAGAATAAACTCAAAATGGATAAAGGACTTAAATGTAAGTCCTGATACCATAAAAGTCCTAGCAGAAAACATAGGCAATAAAATTTTAGACATCCTACATAGCAATATTTTTACTGATATACCTCCTAGGGCAAGGGAAATAAAATGAAAAATAAACAAATGGGATTACTCAAATTAGAGAGCTTCTGTATGGCTAAAGAAACAATCATCAAATGAAAAGAGGACTGACTGTGTGGGAGAACGTATTTGCCAGTGAAACATCAGACAAGGTTTAATCCCCAAGATACACAAAGAACTCAAATGACTCAACACCAGGGAGACAAACGGCCAAATTAAAAAATGGGCAAAGGATCTTGACAGACACTTCTCTAAGGAGGACATACAGAGGGCCCATAGGCATATGAAAAGATGCTCAGAATCACTAGCCATCAGAGAGACGAAAATTAAAACCACAATGAGATATCACCTCATACCTGTCAGATAACTATCGTAAATAAACCAACAAACAACAAGTGCCGGCGAGGATGTGGAAAAAAGGGAATGCTAGTGTACTGCTGGTGGGAATGCAGACTGGTGCAGCCACTGGAAAGCCACTGTTTTGAGGAAACACAGTCTGGAATTTCCTCAGAAAACTAATAATAGAACTGCCTTTTGACCCAGCAATTCCACCACTAGGATTATACCCTAAGAATCCTGAAACATCAATTCAAAAGAACCTATGCACCCCAATGTCCATAGCAGCAGTATTTACAATAGCCAAGTACTGGAAACAGCCTAACTGCCCACCAGTAGAGGAATGGATTAAAAAACTGTGGCACATTTATACAATGGAATACTATGCAGCAGAAAGAAAGAGGAAATTCCTATCTTTTATGACAGCATGGATGGAACTGGAGAGCATTATGCTAAGTGAAACACGCGAGTCTGTGAAATACAAATACCATATGATCTCACTTATAACTGGAATCAAATGAACAAAATAAACTAACGAGAAAAATGAGCAAAACAGAACCAGAGACATGGAAACGCGGAGCAGACTGGTAGCTGTAGGAGGAAGTGTAGGGGGTGGGAAAGGGGGAGGGAAGGGGATGGGATTAGTCAAAGAACGAACACGTGTGAGTGACTCACGGACGCGGACAATGGAGAGGGGATAGACTGTGTGTGGCCCAGAGGGGTGGGCTAGCTGGAGGGGGAAAAGGGGGGGAAAAGGGGGGAAAAATGCAACAGCTGTAATAGAATAAACAATAAAAAATAAGGTAGAAAAAGCATTTCAAAAAATAAAATGTAAAAATGTTTCTAGAATAAGAAACTCTGGGGATGGGGACGCTCAGAGGATCCTGAAGCCCTCTGAGGTTCGAAAGGCACTGCTCTGGTGCGAGCCCTTGGGATCCCTGTCCTCGCCGCCTCAGTAGCCTGCCACCAGTCTCCGCACTCACTGCCTATCCTCACTCCCATCTGTTCTCCTCCTAGCAGCCAGAGTCATTGTTTCAAACAAAACCAAACAAAACAATTAAATCAGATTATGTCACACACATACACACCCTCCCCTCCCCCACCACCAGTTTACAACCTCCCACGGCTTTCCACTCAACATCGTGCAATCCAAGTTCTCTTTCCTGGTCCACAGAGCCCCAGGGTGAGCTCGGGCCACACCCACCACTCCAGCGTCTGCCAGCGCCTCCCTTCCCACTTTCTCCAGACTCCAGGTGAGTGGGCCCTTCCCTTCCACAGGTGCACCAGGCACAGGCCCACCGACTTGGGACTTTTGTACTGGCTGCTCCTCTGCCAGAAAAGCTTTCCCCCTGAACTTTAAAAGCTGGTTTCCTTATGCCAATTACTTCTCATTGTAAGCGGCACCTCCTTTAGAGAGGTCTTCATCAACTAACCAATCCAAAGTATCCCCTCCTCACCGAAGTACATGGTTTTAACCCTCTGTGTGGTATTTATTACCATCAATTTGAAATTTGTTCTTGCTTACTTATTGGCCAATATATCTAAATATTATGAGAATAGGGACATGGTTTGTCTTGTTCACTGCTGTGTCCAAATACTTGGAATGGTGCCTGGCACATAGTAGATATTCAATAAATATTTACCCAATGAACTTCTTCCTTACTTGTAGGCCTGAGGTTGCTATTGGAGAATGAGTGTCCGCTCAGATGCCCACTCACTCCTCTCATGTGGCTGCATTTCTAGGGTCCTGCAGTCAGTGGCTCGTTTCTGTGGGCCCTGGGTCCACATGATAGTGTGGGCCCTGTAGAGCACATCTCAGAAGGAGGCGAGAACCCAAGAAGATGTTACCCTCAGAATGGTGTGAGAATGTGAGAGGACAGCAGCAGGCTACTTTCCTGGGAATTCCAGAGAGGAAATCTGAACGTCGGTACCTGAGGGCCTCTGTTGTTCTGTGGTTGTTGAGTAGTAGGTGAAGTTGCCTAATTTTTAAGATCCTGAGTTTTGTGGTTGGAGAAGTCTGGGTTCAAACGCTGGCTCTGCCATTTACTGCTGTGAGACCTCGGGCAAGCTCCTGACACTGTGCAAGCCTCAGTTTCCCCATTTGCAGATGGGGAATAACAGTACCTACCTACAACCCAGAACTATTGAGAGCCTTTTAATTTAAGATTTTATTTATTTTTAGAGAAAGGGGAAGGAAGTGAGGGAGAAAGAGGGAGGGAAACATCAGTGTGTGGTTGCCTCTCGCACACCCTCAACAGGGGACTCGGCCTGCAACCCAGGCATGTGCCCTGACTGGGAATCAAACCCATAACCTTTTGGTTTGTAGACCGGCACTCAATCCACTGAGCCACACCAGCCAGGGCCAGAATCTTAAACTGGATATCTCTAATATACTTGGCAGATGCTAAGCCATCCTATAAATGTCAGTTATTATTATTGCTGTTGTTATTATTTCATACTGAAAGTATGAATAACACTGAGGATTCAAAAATAAAAGGTACCGCCGTACTCATAATAAGAAAAATGCATGGTAGAAGTACATCAAAATCTCGTTCATCACCTTCCAAATTGGCAAAACCTAGAAAGTCAGCTGACACTGTTGGTGGTAATTTAAGGAAGCTGGTGGGAGGGTCAATGGTACAACCTCCCCCACCCCCCTGCAGAGAACATTGGCAATAGCTAACAAAATTCCGGATGAACACACACTTTGGCTCAGCTAATCCACTCCTAGGAATTTGTGCTGCAGATATTTTGGTGCATGAACAAATTATATATAGGAAGGTTATTCATTACAGCACTGTTTGAGTATCAAAATATCAGAAGCAACACTGATATCCATTAGTAGGGAACTGGTTAAAGAAGCCATGGTATATCTATATAACGTGACAGATAAAATGAGAAAGTTTCTTTATGTACTGATGTGGAACACTATAAAGTTGATTGGAGAAAAAATAAAATAATATAGATTGGTGAAAAAAGCAAGGTACAAGATCAGATGTACAGTAGGATACAGCAGAAAGCAGGCAGTGGAGGAAAAGAAAATGTATATGTGTATGTGCCCTTTTGTGTAACCAGAAGATCTCTGAAAGAACAGAGTAGAAGACATAATTTTTATTGTACCCTTTTGTGTCTTTTGAATTTTGAACTGTGTGTATGCATTATCTATATTTTAAAATGTATATTCTGTTTTTTAAAAACTTAATCGTTAGTACGAATGTACAATGCCTCTTGTTATTTGATGACTGGATCTAGGAACGTTACATCTCTCTTCATAATTACTAATTTGAGAGTCAAAGACTCTCAGAATTCTTGGGTGCTGTTCTTAACGCTGTAATAGCTGGCTTACAAAGGAGATGCCCACAGGCAGATAATAAACTATGCCCGTGGTTATCAATGGCATCCTGAAGAGGATGGTCCAGATTTCTTCTAAGTTTTTGAAAACATTTTCTTTTCTTTCTGAATTTTTCTAGCATATAGACAAATAGCACATATCTGGAAGAAACAAATAGCATTATCTGGAAGTTTTCTAGCAATATGATTGCAACCGTGCTCTTTTAGAAAGAAGCAAGAAGGAAAGTGAATAATAAAATTTTCTTTACATTTCTTCTGCATTCCTTTTAGCTGGCAATGTTGTGAGGAAGCCTAAGAAAGAGGAGCTTAGAGGAAGGTGAAGTTAGTCCCCCCAGGGGTGCTGCCCCTCCACTTTAAGAGTCCCTTTTCCTGACTGCCCTCTGACTGCCGCCAGACTCTGCCTGTCTCCCCCGACTTCCTTACCACACACATTATTAAACCTCAAGCTTTTTCCCCCCCTTGCTTCTGATTTCTTTCCAAACCCTTGACTCCCTGTGAGTTTATTTGCCCTGTACCCTGCTACTAGAGACTCAGGGGATATAGACAGAGGTTGACATTAGTGAATTGGTTATTTACTTTTATAAACATTTAAGTTCTTACTATGTATCTAGCACTGCATCAAGTGCTAGAAACCCAGAGAAGAATAAGAAGTGACTCTGAAAATTGTATCAGGGAGCTCATGGTCATTTTGGGGAGACATAATTAGAACATAATGTTAGAAGTTCATACGTGAGTGTTATGTAGCCACCAGGAGGGGGCACCCAGCCCAGCTTTTGTCCAGACGGGTACTAAGAGGGGTGCTAAGGAGAGATTCCTGGGGACGTGGGGCTTGAGCGGGGTCTTACAGGGTAAATGGAAGCTAACCCAGGGAGGAGGAGGGTCTGGAAGGCGACAAGTTGAGGTTGGGTGTTGGGTGTGAGGACTAGAGTGTGGAGGGGCCTCGTGGTGATGGTGGTGGTACGGTTTCAGCAAGAGCAAAGACTTGGGGGTAAGAACAAACCCCTCATTTCAAGAGGGCATGATGACATGTGCAGCAGGAAGTGGCAGCAAGTAAGGGGATGGAGAGTTTCAGGAAGGAGGAAGTAACCAAGAAGGTCAAAAGCAACAGAGGGCCACCAACC